TAAAATTAAGGTGAAATTTCTGGGTAGTATCTTTTATCCTAAATCTATTTGATTTCTAAAATTTTGACCCAAAATATTTCATTTAAACTCTACCAAATGCAGAGAGAGGCTAGAGTGAATTTTTGGAGCTCAAAGCTAGAGTGCGAATTTTTGGAGCTCAAAATTACCGACAATTTGGTGTAGCCATGTTATTTTAGATAATGGGATTGCTTTTAAAGTATCAAGATATATAAGTAATTTGATTCGGGGGAGTTTTTCAAAGCCAGCATGCATGATGTTTATTAGGTCATATAGTTGTCCTTGAAGCAAGCTTCTAAAAAAAATAACATGACCTACCACTTTGACCTGAATCGATTTATGGATCGTTTGAAATTATTGATTTGGGAGGGTTTTTCAAAGCCAGCATGCATGATGTTAATTAGGCCATATAGTTGTCATTTGCTTATGAAGCAAGCTTCAAAAAATAATAACATGGCCTACCACTTCGACCTAAATCCAAATATGGACCAGTTGACACTTATGAACTTGTGATAGGTGATGTAAGAACAAAACACTCTAAATGTTTAAAATTTTACATAAAGTAATTTATCCATAGATAGTTTGTAGAAATGAGTTTGCTCATATCATTTTGAAAATAGCTATATTCACCTGAAGATTCGATATAGCAAAGTAGCCTACATATTAAGAACTAACGTGATTGACAACTTGACATTAGCATAAGTATTTTTTGTCTAGCACTATGTTGCTTGCTATCGGAACTTATCATTTACTACATGTACATTTTGACCATAACATAACAAGTAATAAAATTTCCTTATGTATCAGTTCACTGAGAGGATTTTTTTTTTTAACTTTATTTCTTTTGAGGTTTCAATGTAGACTAAAATATAGTCAACATATATTTAGGAACAAATGACCTTTTTTTGTCTCCCTGATTCTTTCTGAACTTGTATTGAAGAATTTTATGTGGAAGATCAATCTCTGCATTGATTATTGAAGATTACATCTCTTAATATACATGTCACGACCCGACCCGAATGCTCGATTTAACGAGGCGCGAACTAAATGTCGGACAGTAGGATCTAATTATTTCAGTTCATAAAATTAATAACATTAAAACATCAAATTCTCTTTTCTTTTATTCGAAGAGCCACTAACAAAATTCCTCAAATATTTAATATTTATCTCAAATCATAAATTACCTCTTATTCACGTCGTCTTCTATAGACGAACTCTTCTTTTTCTACTATTTCTAAATCTTTGGAGACTTATCTGAAACAATTAATTAGTGAAATGAGTTTACAAAGTAAACTCTGTGGGTAACTGTTAAAACAATCTACATGAGTATTCTTTATTTACAATATACATATAATATTTAATATGCATCTTATCTTTTCTTAACTTTATTTCATTCATTTCAATCATTTATACATATCAGGTCTTTTTCCTTCAAAACATTGTAAAACTTTAATATTTATTCCTTTTCTCATTTAATTCATACAGGAGCATCGTCTAAATATACCTAAAGGTACAACCATTTTTATTTTTTATTTTCCTTTTTCATAACCTATTCCTTTTTGTGCACGGGTACGTTGCTTCCCCAGCCAGTACCATACAGGGGTGAATTCTTGTAATTTTGCATGCATATCCTTTTTGCTTTTTCCTTTTAATGTTTGCAATTGTTTATTTCTTTTTAATCTTTAAAAAAATTTATTGTAGCATATGTAGAGCAAGTTTTAATGACATGACTAAAATTCTTGTTGTGTATGCATGGGCCCTAACTAATGACTTTTGGGCTTTTAATGCCTCAATAGGCGTGAGATTTGAATTATTTAAAAAAAAAAGGGTAATATCCTTGTTCAAATATAAGGCATGTTTTTGTCATTACTTTTATTAACCACGTCATGTTATATATGTTTTTTATTTCACGATCATTCGTAAAATTAATATCAAAGTATGGATTTGGATCTTTCATGAGCAGGATAATTTAGGAATAAAAATATTTCTCTGTTTTTTTTTTTTTCCAAAAATTAATACATCCTCTACCTTCCCAACGATGCCTCCCTTTCTTACATTCAAGCAAAACAATAAAATTATTGCTCATGAACAATAATTTGAACAACAAAATTACTTTTTCATGGAATAGTAAGGTAATTTTTCTAGGATAGAACATTTTGTCCACGTGAATGGTAAAAATACTGTTCGTGCATTGAGTAAAGCGACCTGACCCCATGATTCTTTCTCGAAAATAACTCCACAAAAACTAAATAATATCCACTTCTTCTACAAAAATTTCTCCACAGTTTAAATTAAAATCCAAAACAGAAATCTTAAGCTCTGAAACTTCTTTCACAATTTAAGTTAACCTTCCTTGTGCCTCAAAGGAACCTCCTCCAAAATCGAGTTCTAAACCTAAATAATCATAAACACCCAACAGGCCTTTTTCTCTTCAGTGTGAGTGCATCTTAAAATGTGAACAGTATCACGACCCGGCCCGGTGAACTCGCAAGTGCGAGGCGGGAACAGAGGTCGGACGGGAAAAGAGACAAGTTAACAATGAATATCATTAAATCCTCCAAAATGAAAATTAACATCTTTACTACAAGAATGAAAGAGCCATTAAAGTAATTCAAAATAAGATTTTTCTATTTCATTTACCTTTCAAAAGAGATGATTACATAAAAAGTTCTTCCAATAGAATGGATTCCAAATCACAATTAACCCTCTCAAAAATCTATACATACCATCATCTATCAACAAAAATAACAAAACATCAAAAGAACCTGCCGCTTGTCGTCTCCCTACGACGATAAGTGCGCGGTGGTTGGTCTGCCATTTACCCTTTCCTAGATTCTCCTGAAAAGTGTTCCCACAACGAGGGTGAGTCTTATACTCAATAGGTGAGAATGGAAATTCAAATAAACTTAGAATCAAGAGAGAAAAACTATAACATGCTTTGGGAATTTTAGCAAAAGAATCATCAATCATATAACAAGTTGTGCTCAAAGAAAAGCATACATTTACCTCAACTTTCAAATGCTTAATCCTTCCATAACCTTTCCTTTCTTCCTTTTTAAAACATCATGCCTCAAGTGATAATCTCAAATGCATATAACATGTGTATGAAACATTCATAACAGTTTAATATATATAACTATAACACCCGTCTCATGAGTATCACTTGTAACTGATCAGGTACATATAATTTGGCCATTTCCTTTTCATTGGTTCATAGGAACCATTCTTTTCCATAGCTCATAAGAGCCTCCTTTTCCATGGCTCATAAGAGCCTCCTTTTTCATGTGATACTCTCGCGTCAACATGCACATACATTTATTACTTATATTATTATTAGAGATGCTTTATGTAAATCATTCTTAAACTAACCACTTGTATGTTTCCTTAGAGAAATACATGATTGATATTCTTATGTGTGCTTTTGCAAGTAAGAGGAAAGGCATGTATAGCATAAAAAGAGAAATGAACATGTGATTCATTTATAAATCGTACATTTGTATAAAAAAGACCCATTGCATTTGCTTCAAGTGTCTTTAAACTTACAAGGGAACATGAGCCATGAAAGTTTTTTGATGAGCATAAATGAATTGGTAATTTCTATGTAATTGCAATGAAAGAAAAGTTGTCTAACATTATTTGTTTGCAATTGTTTATTTCTTTTTAATCTTTAAAAAAATTTATTGTAGCATATGTAGAGCAAGTTTTAATGACATGAATAAAATTCTTGTTTTGTATGCATGGGCCCTAACTAATGAGTTTTGGGCTTTTAATGCCTCAATAGGCGTAAGATTTGAATTATTTCAAAAAAAAAAGGGTAATATCCTTGTTCAAATATAAGGCATGTTTTTGTCATTACTTTTATTAACCACTTCATGTTATATATGTTTTTTATTTCACGATCATGCGTAAAATTAATATCAAAGTATGGATTTGGATCTTTCATGAGCAGGATAATTTAGGAATAAAGGTATTTCTCTGTTTTTTTTCCCAAAAATTAATACATCCTCTACCTTCCCAACGATGCCTCCCTTTCTTACATTCAAGCAAAACAATTAAATTATTGCTCATGAACAATAATTTGAACAACAAAATTACTTTTTCATGGAATAGTAAGGTAACTTTTCTAGGATAGAACATTTTGTCCACGTGAATGGTAAAACTACTGTTCGTGCATTGAGTAAAGCGACCTGACCCCATGATTCTCTCTCGAAAATAACTCCACAAAAACTAAATAATATCCACTTCTTCTACAAAAATTTCTCCACAATCTCCACATTTTAAATTAAAATCCAAAACAGAAATCTTAAGCTCTGAAACTTCTTTCACAATTTAAGTTAACCTTCCTTGCGCCTCAAAGGAACCTCCTCCAAAATCGAGTTCTAAACCTAAATAATCGTAAACACCCAACAGGCCTTTTTCTCTTCAGTGTGAGTGCATCTTAAAATGTGAACAGTACCTATTTCTATTAACATGAACAATTAACAACAAATTTATTAAAAAAAAAAGAAAAAAAAAAGAAAGATAAATGAAAAAGGCTTTCATTTTCTTCTGCGTAGGGCTTTAACACTTCGTAAGTCATCAAAACAACCAAACAGTTGGTTCTTACATTACTACTTCCATTTGAGCTCTTTAATGTACCTTCGAATTCATGGAATCATCTAAGTAATATCCATCGTTATTGATCAGTGACTAATGGAGCTTATGTTTACTTCACTGTTTTATCACTGCGTCTCTTTCGGAGTATGTTTTTTGGAACCAGTGGAATTGATGTAAAAATAAATTTTGAATTTTCATTTTTGTTATAATTATTTGAGTCCAAAGGTTTTCAAACTTTATGATTTATCGCTCACCCCAAGTGTATGCCATTATTTTAAAGGATTACGAACTTGTTTTAAGAGTCATTTTCTAGCTCATATTGTTTGCTGCGCTACATTAGGTAATTTTAGTTGCTGAGGGTTTAGGTATGTGGGGAAAATATGCAGATTATGGAAGCTCATTTTCTGATGTCGTTCAAGGGCTGGAGCAGGTACTAGAATCTTTAGGTTCACACCACTCAGTGATGCCATCAAGTTTCAAATACAAGGACAATCTTGAGAAGCAGGTCTGGCTGAAAGCATGATCTTGATGTAGGTGTTTTTATTAATGAAAATTTTTCTTTTTAATTTATTTATTCATGTGTAATTTTTTTTTTCAGTTGAATCTGACCACCTTACATGTCCTTGGATTTGTTTCATTAGAGGATGGTCCGCTTCTTAAAGATTTTCTTCTCAAGGTGATCTCAACTCTCTTCAGAATCTTTTCTAGACATACAATATACCTATTCATGCATATGTAGATATTCCATCTTGTAAATTTCCTTTTGAAACCATATTTTTTAGTGCATTAATTATCTAACTGTTTTTTGGGGTTGGAATTATGTTATTTGCAAGGATATATTTATGGAAAGAAATCTTTTTATTCAGTCAACTTTAGTAGAATTTGCTTGTATCTGGAAAGTCTATAGTTATGTATCTTATAAGAGTTCATCTTATTGAAGGGATTGTTTTACGTGAAGTGCTTCATGAGTCTATACTTCAAACGATTTCAAGAATTGGTTGTAGAATCTATTTCCATCATTAATGAATTTTCAATTATGCGTAATTTTAACTCTAGGAATGGCATTTCCACACACAAAATAGTCCCTCGGGCTAAACTACTTCCATATTTCTAAAGATGTATATTTTGAATGTCGAGAATGTTCCGGACGTGATGACATAGTCCGTTTCATGATCGGACATTATCTAAGCGACGTCGAGGCCTGATTTCCTCGAAATACGAGTTGTCTCGAAATTCATGCCACTCATTAGGATGTTCCAAATTGAACAAATAAAATACAGTTTTTTGAGTATTTGCAATGTTCTGAACACAATGACGAAGTCCGTTTGTTAATCCGACATCGTTTGATCAGCCTCAAACTTTAATTTTGGGTGTCGGTCGTCTCTTTTGACCAATCTCATCCGATTCAATTACGAGGGGCCTCGACCTAGCAGAATTCAATATCCTAATCGCAACGGTACCATCCATTTGACATTCGGATGTCATTTGGCCCTTCAAGTGATATATGGCGCCAAAGTACATAACGTTTTGTTCAACAATTGGGATCCCTTCTCGTGTGGTTTAAGGTATAGGGGTCAACACCGCCACATTGTTGGTCCCACCACAATGTACGCCACGTCAAATTGGTGGTGCCTCCTCATATATAAACTTACTGTAAATGAAAAATTTAAGCGGGCAAAGGATTTGTTTGGAACAGTGGTTAAATTAGAGAATTCGTTAATTTGCTTCTAATATATTCTAGAGATTCCAAAATCAGAGTTCTGAAAACAACCTCTTTGCAAACACCGGGTTACAGTTGCATACATTAACCCCTCAGACCCTACATTAGCAAGAGTCACAAGCACAATCATTGGATACATATATTTGTTTTTCATAGAAATGAAGTACAAAATGGAATATTGCATCGAGTGTCCCTAAATAGCATAAGAACCAAATACAAAAGCAGCAAAGGAACTATAACTAACATATTTTTTTATGGTGAAACTTTATAACGATAAAATTAAATGAGTACAATGAGGGCAATTAACTTGAAAAGCTAGAGAAGAAAGACCTTGGCTTCTAGGCATGGTGGCCCATTTAAAAGCATGCCTGTATGTTTGAGTTTGAGTTTGAAAGAAAGTTCGCATACTTTCGAATGATTGCACATTTTATTGGAGTGATTGCACACTTTTCGTAGTGGAAAAATCCAGTTGGTTTGGTTTAGTTTGTTAGTTTTGAATTTTTGTTTGAAGAAACTTATTTTAGTTTGGTTTTGAAGTTCTGTAAAATTGAAATAAACCAAATGATTTGACTTAAGCATGTTGGAAATAATCATATATCCTATTCTTCTATTACCTAGCCTTGTCCAGTTAACCTGGTTGAATCAGAACATTTCTCCTATATTTATGGACCTATAGGCTCTTTATTGAACTATCAATTTAGAGCAAACCTGTCAAACCAAATGGAAATAAATTGTTGGAATCCCAAATCAAACCAAATTGAATTGAAGCAAAACTGAAAAATCAATTCCCAAAGATTAATGTTCCTAAATTGAAAACCTAGGTGAAATTGGACCGAGCATGTCGGTTCATTTTGGTTTGCTGTAATGATGGTTTGATTTTGGCATCAGGTTTAATTAATTAGTTTAGGGTTACAAATTTGATGTTTGCATAAAGCTGGTTAATGGGTTAATGGGGAACTCCTGATGTCAAGCCACACCAATTTTGAGTATGCTAGTCAAGTGCACTTATTGCTGCGTTTGATTTCAGAGAACAACCATGCATTCAATATAATTTTGTCGAGTCCATTGAATTTGGTTACTCATTCAGTTCAACAAAAATATGTCCACCCCTATAATTCATCAGGCAACAGTGTCTTAAACAGCAATTCATGCAAATTTGTCACTCCCTCTGTTCATTGATATTGATATTATATCTGAAATTTACTTCTACTGTGTTTTTTAATTATTTCTGTAATATGGTACAGAAAGCGTATTTTTTTGAGGGCTGGCTCAAGTTTCTGTGCTCATCTTTAGTGGAAAGTCAAGATCAATCCTCATCGAGCACGGTTGACCAATCTGATGAGTATGCTCCATATTTGCCGAAGAAAGCAATGGTGCACGCAGCACTCAAGTCCTTATATGACATCTACAAGTGCAACAAACATCATGACATTGCGGAAAGATTTGTGCAATTAATCGGCAAGTATTTTTGACATTTATTCTTTTTCTTGCCGTAATTGCAAGCTTTCCATATTTAATGATATTTATCGCACTCATAAGCAATGTGATCTGAAGAAAAAAAAAAAAACATCTAGTGCTTGCCAAGTCTTTAAAGATGGTAGTTTTTTAGTTTTCTGTACTTATTTTTTAATTACAGTTTCTGGTTGGCTTTGTAGCTTACAGGTCAGCATATTTTATTCCTGAAAATGCTAAATTTATTTGAGTTATAATTTTTTCCCAATTGGGAACCCATAGTATCACATCACTATTAACACCTAACTTTGCTAATTAATCAGAGTCCAAATCAAAATAAACATGACTAACCATATTTTTAGACTTTAGACGGGTGTTTCATCCTCCAATAATAGCATTCAACGGAGTTAAAGTTTGAATTTAAAAAATAGACATTGTAAGCCAAGAGCAAGCTCCAAGATATCTATATTGCAGTTTGATCATCACTTCGATTCCTTGTCTTCGCCTTTTTAACAATCATATTGTAATTTGTATGAATATTGTGAAATCTGTAATAAAAATGGTACTTAAAAGGTTTAACAATCATATTGGGAAAGTTTTCTTTCTCTTAGGAAAAGATTGGTGATTATTCCTTACTCAGGTGAACTAGAACAGCCCCTTTTTTTATGAGATTATATATCTTCAATTTTTTTCTTTTGTATATTTTGTTTTAATTTATTATTTTTACACTGCTCTCTTCATTGATTTAGATCTAATGCCTTAGTTCTTACACTATTAAGATAAGTCATCCTTAAAATATTAAGGCTTCACAAAATCTATTCAAAATCAACCACCCAACAACTCTTAAATTCTCCTAATATACTTGTTTTTTTCCAGAAAAAATATTGTAGTTGTTTATTTGCATATATCTTTATAGGTGTGTAGCAAGTACTTGGCGAGATGTGATGAAGGAGCTAACCCCCAGTGGGTAACATGGGAAAACTCGCTCGATGGGCAAGGTGAGCTAATCACTTGCAATGCACAAGAGAAGTTGCCTAAATGATCAACATGTGGTATTTACTCTCATAGAGGGCAGTTCAGGTTTCTCCCTAAGCAATCAAATCGGCACCTGCGGCATGATTAAATGTTTTCCATGATCACTCAGTCTCTTCCAACACACGTATCCTCACTCATGCATATCTAATTTAATTATAATAAATCACTTGCTAATGTGGCCTTCTACTCATCTTTCTACCGTCATCCTACTTAGATCTCCATTTTCCTCCAATAATAGCACACTTGCCTCACCCTTCTAGGGCAACTCAAGCACTTCAACATAGGTCGTCGGCAACCTCAGTAAACTTGTTCGTTCCAAGCGCTCTCATCTCAACACTAGTTTATGGACTCACCCAAACGTAGTTGCTTGAATCAACTTGCCACTATCAAAAGCACCCTAGAGCTAGATCATCAAAGGCTGCACCCTCTAGCAAGTCATGTGACGACACATGTCCATGGCAGCCTATATTGAGCCATTTAAATCAATGAATTTTTTATTCTTTTGATATAGCATTTATGAGGCAACACATATCTAGGGCAGTAATGATCTCACACACTATATTTGGTCTCTTGTCTCTCCTATCCATTAGATGAGTTCTTTCTCTTACGTGACCTTCAGTGATCACATGATTGTTGGTTAGCTCCATAGTTTCGTGAGTCTTCATCTGTTGCAAGTTAGGAGTGTGTATGAATCGACCCTCTCTCAATCCTTGGGTCAGTGTAACTTGGGCAACTACAGGTTATAAGTCTGTCACTTTTAGCATTTCTTTTTAGAATGTCATTGTAAAGCTTCTTACTGGCTCGTCTAGTTCTTGCCTTATCTTTAACAGAGCTTGTGAGCGCTTCTAGGTTTTTTAGCAGTGAAAAATCCAGTCAAATTCTTTTGAATTAAGGTGCTATCTGGTTGGAATACAAAGTAATGTAAGGGTTCTAAAAATTTTGGAGTTTAGTTGGAATACATAGTGGTGCAAAGTAAAATAAATATAGTGTAAATCATTTTAGTTCATTTTTGAAGTAAATCAAATTTGTCCAATTTTAAGTGAGAATGATTTACACAACAAGCAAGCTCACTTTACTGCCACTGACCGCCTGTAAGCCACCACCTGTCGGCCACCACCGACTGCCACAGCCACCTTCATGTCACTGTCGATAACCATTGCCACCACCACCATTTACCATAGCTGTCAGTCTCTACAACTATCGTAGGCCACCACTACTGTCAACGGTTGTTCCAGGCCACCACCACTAGTCGTTGGCCACCACTACCATCGCGGCCGTCATCGACCCCCGCCACCTATGGTCGTCGTTCACCCCCGCCACCTCCGATCGTCGTAGCCACTTGTCGCCAACCACCACTACCACAGCCACCACCCATTGTCGATTGTAACTAGCCACAATCGCTGTTGGCCCCCACTGGTCGTCACCATTTATAAACTTTACACTGCATTAATTACTTCAAATCAATCAAAAAAAATCATACAAATTGTTTGTGAAATACACTTGACTTTACTAGCAAGAGCTAGGATCTATGAAAATAGAGAGTTGCAAAAATAGAGGAAAATGTTATAGATTGCTTCAAAGAGTTATATAGGTCTCAAACTAACATAGTATCAACTATATCAGTTAAAAGGACAATATAAGTTCCACAAATTGTTCATCACCCTTTATTTATAGGGTTTTGAGGGTTACATGAAAGAAAATGTAAGAAGTATAATGCTTGATACACGCATACAATATTGCATTACAATAGACATGTGTCGTCCCCTAATAGGCTGAGGGAGAATGGGGGTTATTTTGTCTATGGGCAAGCTCAATAGTGTTGAGTATGCACTCAACGAGCTCCTGTGGTGTGGGGGAGCTATTAGTGCCAAGTAAGAGTGGGCGAGTCTACGAGTGAGTTCTGAGGAGTGCTTGGATGCTCTTGAAGCTGCTGGTGGCTTGTGCTAGCCTTGGATCACCTATGTGAGAAGGCCAATGATATGTAATTTTGGACAAAGCATGTTTAGCGATCAGCCAATCAAGGTAACGAGAGTTGAGGGCTCGTCAGGTTGCCGCTTTCCTATTGCTAAGTTTGTATGTGGGCGTGGTCGCACCGCAGAGAACTAGCGACCAATGCGGTATCCAAGCACATGGTGGGTGTTGAATTGTTGGCTTGGCGCATAGCTCATGGTCTACGGTGAGCTCCTGAGTATGCTTGGGCGAGTAGCACATGTTGAATGTTTTGGCGAGTCCGCACATATCATCTAGGAAAGTTCATCATGTGGGCCCCTCCAGATGCTGAGTTCTTGTCATGTTCTGTTGGGTTATTTGTTAAATTTCTATGAAGTTATAGGCGAGTATATAATATAAGAAATAAAAATTAAATATTAGTTTAAATTTTGGTTAAGCCAAATCAAATCAGCTTAAGATCTTATGAATGCTCGATGATCAGTGCTTAATTTAAACTTTTGCTTGATTACAGTAGCCACATTCAAATTTCAGTCAGGTGGCTTTGATTATGATTTCAGTTTAATAAATTAAGATGTGCAAAAAAAGTCATCAAATTTTACAGATCGTCATATATTTATAAATTTTGACATATTCAGCGGAAATATAAAATTTTCATAAATCAACCAACTGAAAATTTACACTTGGAATATAATATTCTAAAAAAATATTAAAGTATGATACTTTAAGTATGCTTTATTTATATATTCTTATCTTATATGAAAATTATATTGTACGTCAAATGATATGACCTCAAAACAAGAAAAAAATTACTGGAGTTCAATAACCCAACCCATAAAGTTCCAGCTTCCACACGACTGCATAATTTGTTGTCAACACCCGGAGTACATAATTCTTAGCAAAAGAATTAAAGGCACGAGCTAATTACGAGTTGACGTTGTTGATTAACCATTTGTTTGAGCGTGATTTACGATTCTACCACTGCTTGTAGGATTAAACCGTAGGCCATTAAACGGCTTGGCCCTCCATCTGGATGATCCATTTTTAAAATTTAATCCACATTCTGATTAAGGTTGACCTGTTTGCCACTCTGATCAAATAAACTATTCTAATAATCAGTATTCACTGCCTTATGCTTTGTTTAGAATAATTTCTTTACTTTCTAGTACAACAAAATAATAGTAGTCAAATATAAATTATGACGGACTAAAAAGTCAAGAAGTAAGAGAGGTCTCTCAAATGAAATTTTAGGTTTCATTTGAGATGATTTTTTTGTTGATATTTTTTTCACTATTTTTAAGAAATTTTTTATACCTTAAAAATGTTTTAAAAAAGTTATAAAAATTGTGTCAAACAAATCCTTTATTTCTCGCAGCTGTTCCTCTTCGCATTTTCGTATCCCCGCCCATTCCAAGGCCAAAAAAAAAAAAGGTCGACGCAAATTTATCCAGCGACATCATGTTTGCTTTAGAAATTTCCAATACCTAATTTCTTATGTGAACTCGTAATGTATTTATAAATTTTGACATATTCAGCGGAAATATAAAGTTTTCATAAATCTAAAAAAATATTAAAGTATGATACTTTAAGTATTTTCGTATCCCCGTCCATTCCAAGGCAAAAAAAAAAAAAGGGGTCGACTCAAATTTATCCAGCAATATCATGTTTGCTTTAGAAATTTCCAATACCTAATTTCTTATGTGATGCTCGTAATTAATGTGATGAGTTTAACTAAAAACAATAGATAAATGTTATAATTATTCAGCATTTCCTAAGTGCAAATAAGTTGTATACAACAAAAGCGTAAATATTTTGAAAATTTATCGTAAGGTTTTTCTTAAAGTTGTATGAATCTTTCATTAATATTTTTCAAAGAAAATTTGATGATTTCTTATAATTGATGCAATTAAATTTCAAAAGATTTTCAAATGTACCCTTGTATAAGTCTTTTCAAATATTTTTCACAAGTACTCAGATGTGTCATACTAGATGGACCTTGTGAGCCCAAACAGGTGCTTGCCCAATGATCACAAGACCTAACTTGACAAGGGACTAAGAAGGGAGTCACCCCTTGCAAGGACATTTAAGGGTCCTTGTGGATTACCTGAGGGCCTTTAAAGATCAATCAATTAGTAACTCACCCTCCATCAAGGGATAGTCACCCTAGTTATAGGAAAGAATCTATTCAAAAGGGTTTAAACTCACCCATCATAGTCAACAAGCCATGGAGCTTTTCATCCTCACAACCTAAATGCACTTGCCCTTCTGCTCCAAGGCGATTTGGAGCTCCACCATAG